GTGTGTGTACTTACGCTACGCCACTTGGTTTGACATTTTGTTATATAATGCAATTTTTGTGTGGCCAAATTCTTTCTTAAACACGAAATATGGCATTAAAGTCGACCAGGTTTTAAATGGCGTTATTTCAAAACAAACCCGCGTGTGTTTTGTTGAGAAATGGAAGATTTCGGCACTTTATTTCTCACATTTACTCATTCAGACACTCATTTGACACAAGTTTTCAAAACAACGTCCATTCATCTAACGTAAGATTGACAGACTGCTAAACAAACTGAACATTCACCGCTAACATACATAATATCGTAATATTTAAACGCGCATCCTCATCAAAAATAAAACGGATATTCACCGCTTCATCCGCATGAGAAATGACAACAGATACGCACATGCAGTGTTGCCAGATTGGATGGACGATTTCCAGCCCAAAAGCTCACAAAATTATCTTCTCCAAACTTGTGTGACCCATTTTGACTTTCTATACCATGAAGATGAAGCACAGAAGATGAAGATCACGTCATTATTAGTGCAAATACATATATAGCCATCCAAAAAAAAAGCATTTTGGGCACTTAAGTTGCTTAAAAATGTATAAGCGTCACTGCATTATACAGTAAAACAAAATATCAAAACAAGTGACATCTGCAAACAAATGCTGCTCAAGCTATTGTAGTACAATAACAACTGATCTTTTTTCCCTAGAATTTATTTAGAATGTACTCTATTATAATAAATAAATACATTTAGAACGTTTTTTTTTTTTTGATATCCTGAAATAAAAGAAAAATGTAGGCTATACATTCTAGAGGGAATTACTGCTTCACCACTTTAGTCAACTATTTTGAAAGTATCTTGTCATAAATACAAAATATGAAGACATATAAAGAGGATTGTCATACAGAATTATGGCAAAGGATGAAAAGTGGTGGTTTGGACATAAAATCAAACCTGAATGGTTAGAAATGTTATAAAAGAGCTGAAGGCAGCATCAGATGACTAATATTTGAACAGTCAACTGCTTTATCATTTCAAACCTTATTTTTGTTAAATGTTGTGTATGTACTTACGCTACGCCACTTGGTTTGACATTTTGTTATATAATGCAATTTTTGTGTGGCCAAATTCTTTCTTAAACACGAAATATGGCATTAAAGTCGACCAGGTTTTAAATGGCGTTATTTCAAAACAAACCCGCGTGTGTTTTGTTGAGAAATGGAAGATTTCGGCACTTTATTTCTCACATTTACTCATTCAGACACTCATTTGACACAAGTTTTCAAAACAACGTCCATTCATCTAACGTAAGATTGACAGACTGCTAAACAAACTGAACATTCACCGCTAACATACATAATATCGTAATATTTAAACGCGCATCCTCATCAAAAATAAAACGGATATTCACCGCTTCATCCGCATGAGAAATGACAACAGATACGCACATGCAGTGTTGCCAGATTGGATGGACGATTTCCAGCCCAAAAGCTCACAAAATCCCGCCCAAAACTGTCAAAATAATGTTATAGAATATGTAAATCAAGGTTGATAAGGGCCATGTTAACTCCTTAAAACAAAATATTGACGACAAAATAATATAAACTATACATAAGATACATTTCGCAGGTAAACGGATCAAATCGGGGCGAATAGCCTACATTAAAGAGAATTAGGCTACCGAACATGAATAAAATATGCAAGCAGACACTGTCAAAACGGCAATCATGAAATTAACCGATACCCTCGAAACAACACATGCATGGTTTTCAATGTCAGCAGTCAGAATAATCCAGTTTAAATGCAAAAAGTGCTCAATATAAGTGATAGGAAAAAGCAATGTAATTAGCAGGTATTTCACACTCGTTCATGCGCACACCATGACAGTCAACTCAAAACTGTGTCATTCATTGATACTTAATTATAATCCGACAATTAAAAAAATAACAACAACAATAATGCGCTTACCTTCGTGTCGCTCTATAATTTTACACAGAACTAGAGGAAGCCTCTTGTTAAGTT